CTAAATATTTCTATTTTCTTGATTTTCATTGGCGTAACAGGAGAGACAAAAAATCTTGGGACACACCTTTTAGTCTTCATATTTACAAGATGAGCTTATCTGAGACAATTTTAGTGTTTTTATGGCATTTATTATGAATAGTTTAAGGCATACAAGGAAAAAAAAATGAAAAGAAAATGAACAACATATGCCATAAAACACTTGTTAATTCAATGGAAAGGAGTGACGTGTGACATCACAAAATGTGCTAATTTGAGCTATTATCAATGCATTTTTTCTTTAAATATATCACATAGCTATAAAATTAATATTCTGCCAACTACACAATAATGTGTTCTAAATAGTGATATGAAAATTTATATAATTTTTACTTCATATACTTTTTTATCGTCTTGTGACCAAAATTTTGGCGAATTTTGATAATGACTCCCTTAAGTCTGAGAATGCTCTCAAGTCTGAGAATCTTCTCAAATCCAATATTCTCAGTCAGCCACGGTGAGCCACCGTCATTAAAAAAGTTGAGAAAAATAAATTCCTAAACTCTGTTTTATTCTTACGTTCTCAGCTGAGTAATTTTCAAGACTTGAGTCGAGAATTTCTTTGAGAATTCTCAAAGTTTTATGACGGCGGACCCAGTTCATGAAAGGGTTAGGCAGTAGAACAAGCACTGCGGCTATTTCAGTTTTTTGCATATTTTCTTTATAAAACACATAGGGGCCTATTATACTATATTTATCACATAAACGTCACGTTTCAAAACTACACGTAGGGATGGTTATGTTCGTGATTATCAATTTCAGTAATTTTATTACAAATACCCAAAACTATTCTTAAACTCTCAAGTTTGTGAACGGCACGGTGTAGGGGAGGGGTCTACCATTGAGTTTTATCTTCAGAGAGAGTCAGCTATTACTATTCCTTTTAAAAGGGGGAGTCCTATTTTAGTTTTTTTTTTCTTTTTCTTTCTTTTTTTATACAATTTGTAGGGGAAAAAACACGTTGGGGTGGATCCCTACCCTCCCCCATGTTATGTACATGTATATTTTTAAAGTAAAAAAAATCTACATAGGCCTTCATGTGCAGATACCCCTTCCCCAAATTTTTTGGTTATGTGTGCCCACGAAATAAAAAAATGTATTATCAAAATTGTATATCCTTGTAGCAAAGAGAGAATTATAACTTAATATTTTTTAATGTTATTAATATGCCTCTGCTGTTGGACTTTAAGTCCCCGAGGGTATTCATAAGGCCAGTTTCGTCTAGTACCCCAGTGCTATCATGAAACGGATATATAAATTTTAATGTGATAAATTTTAGAAATAAAGGACGTATCTCCCTCAGGCACAGCTCTGGTCCTTGTTCGGATTTTGACTCATGTGCGGCACTTTCGATCCATGCTCGTTGCTTTTTATCTTTTTTAAGATTTCCAATAGTTTTGGTCTGAGCATCACTGAAGAGACATTATTTGTCGAAATGCGGATCTGGTGCATTAAAGTTCATACCGTTCATTTATAATGATAAATATAGAGTTTTCGATATTTCTGTTAGATCTGCCACTCCAGTATAATTGACCAGAATAGTAAATGCCTAAAGTTGATAGAGCAATTCGCTATAGATATTTGGGACTCTAAGTCTGATCAGAACAGTGTGATATTGGGTTAATATCAAACAATTGAAGAGGGAGGGTGCTAGTTTACTCTCGCTCCATCTATCCACCTGTCTGTCCTTCCGATCCTATCCCTTCAATGAACATTTCCTATATTAAAGGTGATGTTGAGGGGGGGGGGGAGTGGGGGGCGGGGCAGGTCTTGGCGATTCAATTACTATATTACATTACTATATTATACAACTATTACGTCAAGAGAGATGCTTGCTCATTTGTTGAACATAGAAAATGCCATAAAATGAGGTTGAATTTTATTCCAAAATAGCTTTGATTTTGTTCTTCATTAAAAAGTGTGTGTGGGGTTGGGGTGGGGGCACAGATATATCCCCCCCCCGATCTGAAAGTGGGGGGCTAATGCCCCCGCTTCCCCCTGTGACTACGCCTATGCATCGGGAGCGGTAGATGTTGCAAACATAAGAAAAAAATAAGTCAAAATGTTGGACCCCCCCTTTTTAAAATTCCTGGATCCGCCTATGAGGTCCGTGTTTGCTCTGCTCTTATTTTGTATATTTGTTTAATGGACGTTGAGATTGAATACTGTTCGTTATTTCCATATCCTTATTTTCAAGTTTGCGTGAAAAATTTTTAGGTAGTGGGTTTTTTTTTAAGCTTGTCAATTTTTTTCAGGTAAGACAGAATAATTTCTTTGCCTGGCCCCCCACTTTCAAAATCGATGCTACGTGCCTGTTAAGCATATAGGTCACAGTCAAAATCACAAGGTCATTGACCTTGCCTGGTGTCATTTGAAATAAATTGATTAGCGGAGTATGCATACCAAATATGAAGACTAGTCCTTGCATGTACCTCTCATGGTTCAGAGTTTTGGCGAAGGTACGGAAAAGTTATTACAGGTCACAGTCAAAGTCACAAGGTCCTTGACCTTGACATTTCAAAGAACTTAAATAATGGAGTATGCATGCTTAATATGAAGTCCCTACCTTTCATGGTTCAAAGTTATGGAGTATGCATGCTTAATATGAAGTCCCTACCTCTCATGGTTCAAAGTTTTGGATTTTGCATGCTTAATATGAAGTCCCTACCTCTCATGGTTCAAAAGATATGGCGTAGGTTAAAGTTTGCAGAAAAATACTAACCCCTCTCCCCTCTAGATATGACAGTGTGTTATACTTTATGAAAAAATCCGGAGTCCAGAGTTATCATTAATTTTTTTTTTTAAGTTAAATTGAAGTTGTTTTTTTTTTACTTTCTTTTTATATCAATATAGAAGAAAAACACAGCCCCCCCCCCCCTTAGCCCCCAGCCTCTCCCCCGTTCCGACGCCGATGAAGTTTATTCATAAAATAAAAGAATCATCATCATCATCATTGAACCTTCATTTTGATTTGTTTAATCATGTTAATTATTTTCTAAAATGAAAGACGCGTTATCATTTTTTTTTTTTTTTTTTTTTTTTTTTTTTTTTTTTTTTTTTTTTAGAAATTTATACAAATCTACAAAATCCCAATGAGCTCATTTTCGTAGGTAAAAAAAATAAATTTTTCGCAATATAACGCGAAACTTTCGCGATATAACGCGTAACTTTCGCATTATAACGCGAAATAATATATGCATATATAGTATTGATACTCAGGAACATTGATCTTGACTGACAGATTAGAACATGAACACATACGGGAACTCTCAGGAACTTATTTATAAAATACCATTTCCTCAGAAGATGTACTGGAGAAATGATGCGAGAATACTCAATAGGATAGATTAGTCATCAGAATATTTTTTTTTAACCTTACCATTGAATTGATAAAATGAGTTTTACTTTCTTGTACATGTTTTTCAATTATTAAAATTAAATTTAATTCTTTAAACTGATTATTTTTTTTAAGAAAAATCTCCACTTGACACTTTTTTCAAGCTTTTTTTTTAATCGGTAACATTTACTTCAACAACACCACTAGTAAATTAAGAAATCATTCATTTTGGACAAAAAAAAATTATACACTGTAGAAACATAACGTAATTAAGTGAATGAACAATGTATTATCTTGAGCTTAACAATCGAGTCGTGTGATGCTGTTTAAATAACAATTATAATTGGATAATATACATGTATAATGCATTTGTTAATTACAAATTTATTTAGAGGAGGGTTCTCTAAATTTTCTCCAATATTTATATATTGGGTTATAGAGAAGTTCGTGGACTAGTCATAAATAAAAACTATGAAGGTATACAGCAGAGTTTGTACACTTTGAATCGTCAATGTTTAGCAATGGAATGACAACGCGGTGCAACCTCAAAATAGGATGTCGTATTTCCACAGTGAATCCAGCAGAGTCACATGAAAATCTGCTATCCAATTTTCACAAATGCGGCGGACCACAAGTGACAAATCTACCTCATTTTGAGATCTTGATCTTGATCTCTACAAAATAAATTATTTCAAATTCTCTAGAGAGTGCATAAAAAAGACGCGGGAAAGGGGGCGATTTTCCCCGAAATTAATAATCTTGAAGTTTAACTTCTGAAAAAACTTGCATAAACTTTGAATTGTTTGAACAGCGTGGAAAAAGACAAATTGTGACGGTAAAGATGGATTCAATAGCAAGAAATCTCACAATTTATCTTGTGATAGTCCAAGATCAAAATAGCCTTTGCTTATCATTGAAATGAATAAAGTTGATGTCAAAATCAAAAGAAAGTTGAGACTAAAGCAAATATCTGGTAAAACAGCAAAAGTTTCGTGTTATAACGCGTAAGATTCCCGTTTATTCGCGAAAGTTTTGCGTTATAACGCAAAAGTTACGCGTTTATTCGCGAAAGTTTCGCGTTATATCGCGAAATTTTCGTGTTAATTCGCGAAAGTTTCGCGTTAATTCGCGAAAGTTGCGCGTTAATTCGCAAACGTTTTGCGTTACACCATTCGCGATATAACGCGTTTATTCGCGAAAGTTTCGCGTTATAACGCGATAAATTAATTTTTTTATCTACGAAAATGAGCTCATGGGGCTTTCGTACAAATTTCCATCTCTTGCAATTAACTTTAACAGAATGCGAAAATTATATTAATAAATATGAAATTTATAAGAATGATTCATCAACCCCAATAGATATAAGAGCGATACGATTTTTTTTTAATCTAGAGAATTTTATGCCGTTTTTTTTAACCTACAGTGTACATGTCTGTGCAAGGGGGAAAACTTGGGAGACGAGTGGCCACATCATGTGCACATGTATGCACTTTTTGAGATGTTTAATAAACCATATTAATCACTAAAGTTAAACCCAACCCCCGCCCCACCCCCTTTTTTCCTGAAAAAAAAATGTTTTTTTTTCGGAATTAATTGTAGTGTACGTTCATGGTTTTAAACTTTACCGCTTTGAATTCGCGGGAAACAGAGAGAAAACTCGTACCCCGATTGCTGGGGTGACTACAAGAAGACTTATAGGGGCTAACGATCGAACTTCATAATAACTATGGGGGTGAGATATTAACTTATAGTAGGACAGTGTTTTACTTTAATATATTTTAATTAAATTGATAAATCCATATGTAATGTTTGTTTACGTTTTTAGCGGAAATCAACAAAAGGGAAAGAAAGGAAAAAGAAACGAAAGGAGGTAAGGTGACAAAACAAAACAAATCACTGAGATTAAAACTCATCAAATTAATTTATCAACTTCAAGTATATATGTTTTCTCAAAGTACAAAATCATTAGCATATTATCACAGAAGTAAAACTTGCATGAGACACTAAGACAGTGATAATACTTTTGGATTCCATACTAAGTATAGCAAGATATTTTAAGTCTCAGTTCTTGTCATATATGTGCAACTGTACATATATAATACATGGTTACTATTTTGAAATATCAGCGATATTTGGGCTAGGGTAAGAAAACGTGACAGAGGGCGAGGCTTGCCGAGCTTATATTTCAGGACAGTTATCATGTATTTTGTTTATCCTGCAACATATTCTTTACATTTGAACGTCCAAACTAGCTATTTTAGACAGATTTAATTTTAGGCACATCTATGCAGTGAAAACTAAGACGCCTGGTGGCGTAAACATTGCAATAATGCTTTTAGAACGTCGGAATACATGCACGAAGCTTTATTAGGGCAGTGACCGGATAAAGCTTTGGTTTGTTAGGTTGCCTTCATTAGGTCAATGCAAGGGGTAGCTGCAGGATAATAATATTCTGATTACAAGGCAATGGTTACTATTTCAGGAAAATGCAAAGTACGATGCAGCCCTGGCAAAAGTGGAAGCAGCAAACAAGGTGCGTACAAGTCATAGAAATGTTTGTTCATATGCAAATTAAAAACACTCTAAACATGCTTTTTGACAGGGTCATGATTCCACAGAATCTCTCAATTTCTGTTGATTTGTGGGTAGAAAATTCCACAGATTTCTTGCTTCCATATATGCCTTTATAGTGTACAGTGGAGCCTCATTTATCCGTACGCTTTGGTTTCTAGTCAATTTGTCCGGATATGTGAAGCGTCCGGATACCTGAATCACCAGTTAAACAAAACAATATAACATTTAAAAATTCTGTCCCAATGAAAAAGTGTCTGGATACTGAAGCATCTGGATATCTGAAGGTCCACTGTGCTTATACCACGCTGCAAAAAGTACTTCTACAGTCGTTAAAACAAGTGCCAACTTTTTCCCAAACTGGTCAGCTTTAACATTTCTCCTCATATGTATTTTGATTCAAACTTCATTCAAAATTATCTTTTCAGATACCAGACCCCTTAGAGTTAGTGGCACCTTTTAAAAAATTTGAGAGGAATGGGTGTGTATTAATAAACTTGTAAACTTGGTATAATTTTTTTTCACTTGTTATCGATTTGTAATGTAGTTTATTGTACATTTTATTGTTGCCCAGTATTTAAATGAATATTCAGGTCATATATATTACAATTATTCTTTTCAAAAATGACTTAAATGAATTACTTTTATAATGAAGCAAAATGGACCATCCCTGACACTTCTTTATACACAGGTTTTTCAGTATTAAGTTTATAATGGATTGATCTATTCTTTAGTTTGAAGTTGAAAATTGAGTGCAAAAAGGTGACAGATATGGAGAAAGAATTGATAGACTGGGCATTTCAACTGACCAAGGCTAACATGCAGAAAATCTAAGTACAAACTAAGGCTAACATGAGAAAATGTAAGTTCATGTACTGATGAAGGCCAACATACAGAAAATGTAAGTACTGACTAAGGCCAACATGCAGAAATGTAAGTACTGACTAAGGTCAACATGCTGAAATGTATGTACTGACTAAGGTCAACATGCAGAAATGTAAGTACTGACTAAGGTCAACATACAGAAAATGTAAGTACTGACTAAGGCCAACATGTAGAAAATGTAAGTACTGACCAAGACCAACATACAGAAAATGTAAGTACTGACTAAGGTCAACATACAGAAAATGTAAGTACTGACTAAGGTCAACATGTAGAAAATGTAAGAACATGTACTGATGAAGGCCAACATACAGAAAATGTAAGTACTGATGAATCCCAACATACAGAAAATGTAAGTACTGATGAAGGCCAACATACAGAAAATGTAAGTACTGATGAAGGCCAACACACAGAAAATGTAAGTACTGATGAAGGCCAACACACAGAAAATGTAAGAACATGTATTGATGAAGGCCAACATACAGAAAATGTAAGTACTGATGAAGGCCAACATACAGAAAATGTAAGTACTGATGAAGGCCAACGTACAGAAAATGTAAGTACTGATGAAGGCCAACACACAGAAAATGTAAGTACTGATGAAGGCCAACATACAGAAAATGTAAGTACTGATGAAGGCCAACATACAGAAAATGTAAGTACTGATGAAGGCCAACATACAGAAAATGTAAGTACTGATGAAGGCCAACGTACAGAAAATGTAAGTACTGACTAAGGTCAACGTTCAGAAAATGTAAGTACTGACCAAGGTCAACATACAGATAATGTAAGGACTGACCAAGGTCAACATGCAGAAAATGTAACTTAAGTACTGACTAAGGTCAACAATTACATGTAGAAAATGTAAGTACTGACCAAGGTCAACATACAGAAAATGTAAGGACTGACTAAGGTCAACATGTAGAAAATGTAAGTACTGACTAAGGTCAACGTACAGAAAATGTAAGTACTGACTAAGGTCAACATACAGAAAATGTAAGTACTGACCAAGGTCAACATGCAGAAAATATAAGTACTGACTAAGGCCAACAGACAGAAAATGTAAGTACTGACTAAGGCCAACATACAGAAAATGTAAGTACTGACCAGTGAAATGTGCATATATTCTCAGTTCAACCAAATTTACCTAACAGAGAGGATGAAAAGAATGAGTCATGTCTTAGCTGCAGAATTAGCTGCAAAGTTTTTTTTTGACAATTTGATATTTTAAAAGTAATTTTGTCCATCTAAATAAATAAGTTGCCTTGAATCACAACGTGAATTGAGGAAATTTGTGACTTCAGATAGTGGCTGGGTATTTTGTGGAAATTATGGGTTTTTAGTATGACCTCTGACACTTGAGTCATGTTTCATTTGTCTACCTGAGTTCATGGTTAGGTATAAAATATATTAATGAGTAGTGATGGGAATCGGTAAGAATTTCATAATCGATGATTGGGTTCCTCTAACTAACTAATTATCGATTATAATCGGACACGTAAAAAGTATATCAATTTAAACAAATAAATTGTTAGAATGGGTATATGGCGACTCTTTTTGGTGATCCAGTTTGTCATATGTTCATTTTAAAGAACTAAAAGTACGCCCATGCCCAGAAACATGCTTTGTTATCGGGGCAGAAATGCAAGAGTTTGTTTATCTGCACCGTTACGTTACACAAATAAGCCAGAAGCAATGCTGTGGATAGAAAATTATGGTTAAAAACCAGATGGCTTGTAAAATAAAATAATAAACCGTAGTGTTGTACCGATAATCGGAAAACATCGATTGTCGACGAAAAAATGCTACCGATTCCGATGATCGATTAAAATTTTTCATAATCGATCATCGGAAACATACTTATAGTTCTAATAAAGTACATTCCAGAATTACCTATTTCTAGTTTAAAATATATTTATTCTTAATGAAAGAAAACTGGCATGTGCTTCTAATACTTGCCAACTAGCACAAAGCAAAGGTGCTTAGGAACCACGAGTAAATTTTTGTTTAGGCTCATAATATTTATAACTTGTTCGCCCATGTGGCGAATTAAAAATCTGCAGGACCATTCCAGTCCCCTTACTGAAAACAGACGCTTTTCCTCATGTTCTTTTTCCTTAAAACTTCCAATCAATTAAAAGAATAAAAGTAACATGGATCTATTGTTCGTAAATACCCTACATCTAATCCATTTACCAGTTCTACATGATTCGTGAAATCTTGAAAACGATCGTTTTTTTTCTAATCCGAATTTCCTCCATTCCTCTGTGTATCGGTTATACGTGGTAGATATCCATTTAAATTATTTCCAATCACTCAGTCTTATGAAATTGAAGTGTAATTAGGCTTCTCCTTATTCCAGATAATTTTCAAAAATATTTTAACTAAAAAAAATATCTTATTCATGTGATGGTATAGTCCAATGACCAGGAAAAGGGGATTAAGAATATAACCTTGCAAAAAAAGGATAGTAAAATTGTTAATTAAATTGAATTTCATTTTCTGTGATGAAATATTTTTGTAAAATTTATTTTACAAAGTAATTTGAACTTCAATTTTCATTTTAAACAAATGCACAAGTATATTTAGACTTTAATTAATTGACCCAGTGATATATTCAAAGGGTTCAAAATCACAAAGATTGTAGATTTAGTTGTAAGCTCCTAAATTTGAAACTTTAGGAGCCCACGTGGCTAGTGGAAATTTTAGTTAAGTTTAACCCATGCATGACATTGTATGTATAAATTAAGTGTGAAATAAGCAAAACAACAAAGAAAACAATAAATTACATATTTTATAAATTCATGTTAAAGAAATAATTTGAAATAAATGCATCAGTCTGCTTTTTATATACCAAACTATGACATCCGATTATAATCGGTAAAATCGCATCGGAAGCAGTAACCGATTCCAACCGATGATCGATTATGAAAATTAACCGATGTCCCATCACTAATAAACCGATTAATCATAATTTTAAAAATGCAATCGATTGCTTGGATTATATGTCAGCAATCGACTGATTTTCGATTATAATCGATGATTGGAACACCACTATTAATGAGTCTTGTAAAACAGACAACCTCCAACTAGATTAAGGTGTATGAAAGGCATTTTTTAAAAATAACCACGTCTAGTTCTTGATGAACGTTTAATGACATTGATGTGAATATATGACCTGTATTACCTGGTGTCTAATTACAGATTATATGACCTATATTACCTGCTGTCTAATTATATGACCTGTATTACCTGCTGTCTAATTATATGACCTATATTACCTGCTGTCTAATTATATGACCTGTATTACCTGGTGTCTAATTATATAATCTATATTACCTGCTGTCTAATTATATGACCTATATTACCTGCTGTCTAATTATATGACCTGTATTACCTGGTTTCTAATTATATAATCTATATTACCTGGTGTCTAATTATATGACCTATATTACCTGGTGTCTAATTATATGACCTATATTACCTGCTGTCTAATTATATGACCTGTATTACCTGCTGTCTAATTATATGACCTATATTACCTGCTGTCTAATTATATGACCTGTATTACCTGGTGTCTAATTATATAATCTATATTACCTGCTGTCTAATTATATGACCTGTATTACCTGGTGTCTAATTATATAATCTATATTACCTGGTGTCTAATTCATATGACCTATATTACCTGGTGTCTAATTATATGACCTATATTACCTGCTGTCTAATTATATGACCTGTATTACCTGGTGTCTAATTATATAATCTATATTACCTGCTGTCTAATTATATGACCTGTATTACCTGGTTTCTAATTATATAATCTATATTACCTGGTGTCTAATTATATGACCTATATTACCTGGTGTCTAATTATATGACCTATATTACCTGGTGTCTAATTATATGACCTATATTACCTGGTGTCTAATTATATGACCTGTATTACCTGGTGTCTAATTATATGACCTATATTACCTGGTGTCTAATTATAAAATCTTTATTACCTGCTGTCTAATTATATGACCTATATTACCTGGTGTCTAATTATATGACCTGTATTACCTGGTGTCTAATTATATGACCTATATTACCTGCTGTCTAATTATATAATCTATATTACCTGCTGTCTAATTGTATGACCTATATTACCTGGTGTCTAATTATATGACCTATATTACCTGCTGTCTAATTATATGACCTATATTACCTGCTGTCTAATTATATGACCTGTATTTCCTGGTTCTAATTATATAATCTATATTACCTGCTGTCAAATTATATGACCTGTATTACCTGGTTTCTAATTATATAATCTATATTACCTGCTGTCTAATTATATGACCTGTATTACCTGGTGTCTAATTATATGACCTATATTACCTGGTTTCTAATTATATAATCTATATTACCTGCTGTCTAATTATATGACCTGTATTGCCTGGTTTCTAATTATATAATCTATATTACCTGCTGTCTAATTATATGACTTATATTACCTGGTGTCTAATTATATGACCTATATTACCTGGTGTCTAATTATATGACCTGTATTACCTGGTGTCTAATTATATGACCTGTATTACCTGATGTTTAATTATATGACCTATTTTACCTGGTCTCTAATTACAGGTATGAAGAGAGTGACTGGGGATGGAAAGATAAGGATAAATACACGGAAATGACAGATGAGAGAGCCCAGTATCTGATCGCCTCCGACGCCACCACCGGTAAACTCGTCGCCTTCACTCACTTCCGCTTCGACATGGAGTTAGACGAGGAGGTCTTGTACTGGTGAGCGTTTGATTGAGTCTCATCTTAGAAGAGGCCCATACTGTATACAGGAAAATTTTCACCCCTTACGCCCTCGTTACAAAGTGGGCGAATTTAAAACAGGGCTAATTCAAAGAACACAGTATAAATTCTAAATAGAACTGTGACTAGGCAAATTTAGAATAGGGAAAATTGTTTCCAAGTGTAAAAGGCAAAACTAACATAGGGCGAAAATAACCCTATATACAGTAGTCAGATTTCCTTTCTCTCAAATGAACTATAGCATAATTTGTTAAAGTTGAGAAATTGCAAGAGTTAAAAGAAGGAAAAAATCAAATTTTGGCCACCCCCTCTTCCCCTCAGATTCCAAACAAGAAACTAGACATTTTATAATTTGAGATTTATAAGCAATAAATGCCGCCGCTTAAAAAAAGATTATTAAAGGTTCTTGGACATAGATTTGAAGTTAATATTTTCTATATAATATTACGACGTATATATTTTAATAGCATTTCGCACAAAAAATAATTAAAAATCTTTTTTCATTTAAAAGTTATTAAAACTTCAAATTTTTTTGCGGGTTTGATTGACACATCCTTGCACTTTCGCAAATTTCAATTTTATTCTTAATACTTAGGAAAGGTGCTCAGGTTGAAAACGCAAGAGGGTTCGGCAGGCCTCGCCCTCTATCATGTTTTCTTACCCTCGCCCAAATATCGCTTATATTTCAAGACAGTAACCATGCATTTTATATTTATCTCCAATTTTATGAAATGCAGAAGCAAGGTCATCACAAATGTTTCATGACTTCACAATGTTGAATGCTATTCTTGTCCATTTGTATTTGGAGGATTAGAAAAAGAACGATGTAATCTGAAAACAAAGTTTATTTTTCTCACCAATTTCCATCACAAAAAGATACATTTTTCTTCTTCCTGGTGAAGACAGGCAAAATAAGAGAAAACAGATTGAAATTACTAATTATTTGTTGATGAATTTGATGACATTTGTGATGTATTGGAGAATATTAAAAACGACATCTCTTTGATTTTTGCAATATTCATAGTAGAATTTGTTTTAATATTAGATATTAATAGATAATAATAGATAGATAATAGATAAAAATAGATATTCACTATTTTACATTCCAATATAACTTTCATTGCTAAAATAAACCACAATAGTGTATAATGTTTTTTTCTTTGTGATCAATTGTCCTAAATATTTTAATATATTTACATCCACTGAATATTTTCTACTTTATTTCTTAAGAAAACCCATTGCGTTAATCAGTGCATGAACTACACTATGCATGTCATCTGTACAGATTTCTTGATCAGTGGCTGTTCCATCAATGTAACATACAAAGACATTCACATCATTAATACAATAATTAATTTTGTTAATCCTACGTAAAGTGATAGTTTAAACAGATATAGATATAAACAATAAAATGTCTTTCTTTGGTTGTTAGTACGAGAATGGACGTTGCAGCTATTGCTGAAAAAAATTACATAACCCACTTACGCGGGTTATGTATTTTTTTTCTGCAACAACTGCGACATTTATTCCCGTACTAACAACCAAAGAAAGACATTCTATTGTTTAAATTTCAACAAAGGTACCAAAAAGTTTCAGCCAAGTCTTAAATTCAAATTGGGGAATAGACACCTTTTATGTTTCACATGTCAACTTATTTTCTGTGATATCACTGTGACAATACTTCATTCTTCACATTGCAAGGTACCTTATGAATATAATTTATATTTTCATAGCCATGCATTGGATTTTGGCACCAGAGCCACCTGTACCTCAGGTGTGCGTTCCAGTCATTGACGACTTCTTGGCTAATCAAGAATTCCTGGCTGCAGAGCATCCCATGACACGGTTGTGTCAGAGACTTATTGTAAATGATCAAGAAATTCAACAGGTATTACAAATTCCAAAGCAGTACTAAATTTTAAAGTGTGTTTTCCAAGTACTCAGTACTTAGTGTGAAATATTGTCTCAGCTAGTTGAAATGCTTATTGATTTAGTATTTTCTTACTGACAGATTGCTGCTTTGACTGTTGGGCAAAAAGACAACTGTCTCTGGTCTGCCATTCGTAAAAATCGTTTAACGGCTTCTAACTTGGGAAGTGTTCTGGCAGCAGTAAGAAGAAATAGGTTCTACAAAATACACATTTTGTCAATCTTCATTTTAATGAAATTTTGCTTGTCCTTAAATTGAAAAGTAACTGAAATCTTTTTCTCCTGCACTATTTTACAGATATCCAGTTTCATTGTTCAAGCACCTCTGCCAAGCCTACAACCTTTTCAAAAAAGATGCCATAATTCTGGGTGTTTGCAATGATTCTGGGTGTTTGCAATGAGGGACTAGACTCAATTCGAACCTTGCCCCCCCCCCCCCCCCCCCCCCCCCCCCCCCCACGAAATAGGATTTTCGCCTTTGGGCAATTTTTCCTTTTTTTTTTTCTTTTTTCTTTTTTTTTTTTTCGGCTTGTCAGGATTTTTTTTTGGAGATACAAAATTTTTTTTCTTACACTTATCCCCCCCACTTTCAATTTGCTTCCGACGCCAATGCATATGGAGACGCAGTAGCAGAACCAACGGGTAAAAAGGAGGAAACTATTTTCCCATACTCTAAAAAAGTTTTATCTGTAATGTTTGCTATCAAACTATTATATATTATTTTCATTTTCAATAGTCATATGGCTCCACAGTAATGGTGTACTTGGGAGTACCCATGATGGGATTGTGCGTCGACCAGCTGCATTTGGATTTCATCACCTGTCTCTAGCTCTGACTCACATAATGCAAGCATGAAATATTCGGCCTACAATACTAGAAGTCAAGTGCCCATATACAGCCAAGGAGAAAACAATATCTAAAGCAACCGACACTGGCCCAGTGGTTCTTGAGAAGAAGAATTTTAAAAAAATTTCCTATACATGTATATTCTTATGCTTAACTTTGATCAGCTATTGTAGACCCACCCTACCCCCGGGGGTCATGATTTGAACAAACTTGAATTTACATTACCTGAGGATACGTCCACATGAGTTTCATCTTTCCTGGCCCAGTGCATTGTGGTCCCACCGTACCCCCGGGGGTCATGATTTGAAGAAGCTTGAATCTACACCACCTAAGGATGCTTCAACATGAGTTTCATCTTTCCTGGCCCAGTGGTTCTTGAGAAAAAGATTTTTGAAAAAATGCCATTAATTTTTCACCATTTCATAATTATCTCCCCTTGGAAGAGGGCGTGACCTTTCATTTTGAAAACCTTGAATTCCCTTCACCTAAGGATACCTTGTGGCAAGTGTGGTTGAAATTGACCCAGTGGTTCTTGAGAAGAAAAAGTGAAAAGTTTATGACAACGACGAGTCAGACAACGGACAAATTTTTATCAAAAAAGCCTTCGGCTCAGGTGAGCTAATAAGTGGGAAACAGCCTGTAATATGGTTTGGACACAGCAAGATTGTGCTATTGTAAGGATTACCCAGGACCCTGTTTGGCAGACAAACATTTCCGTTCTTACAGACTTCTATTTCCATAGATTAATACCACTCTTATAGCAGTAACTGTAAATCCTTTGAATCATGTATATGTAAGTCATATAGAGCATGCAAGCCATGTTTGAAGAGTAGTAATGAGCTTCAGTGTCTGCAAGTTAATCATAATATTTTAATCTTGAATAAATAACAGCTTTCAAACTCTTTCAGTTATTTTCTGGTACAAAATTTTGAGCAATTTCTTGCAACAATGGTTCTTGAAAATTTACCAACACACAACATAATTGGAATACTTTTGTACTATAAATATATCGGAGCTGGTGTGGGATGTGTCTCAGTATTTCATAATTTTTTTAATCTATCATTAGCACGTTCAACGTGAATTCTAGATACATGTATTACAATTTTTCTATTGAGCTGGACTTCGACAGGGGTGTACTGGGACTTTGCTGTCAAAAAGGGTGGTATTATATAAATGGTGCCTGTTTTGTAGGGTAACATTTGAAATTGACACCCCAAGGAAAACCATTGTCAACCGACGCGTCAGCGGAGGTTGACAATGGTTTTCCGAGGGGTGTCAATTTCAAATGTTACCCTACAAAACAGGCACCATTTATTTTATTATACTGAATGTCTTATTGATTTAGGACGTCAGCAAAAAAAAAAAAAAAAAAAAAAAACCCGTCCATCGTCTCTACGTTCACGTATAGAAAGCTTTCACACTCACCGGTTCACTAATCTCCTTATTGTTTGTTTGATACTCGAATTTGAGTCATTTATCATATAAAGTTTCGTTATTTCTGGCTCGCAAGCATGTTTCCTACTCTCGCAAGCATAAATCGTCTGTCATTTGTTGTTTTCAAGCAGAGACATATAAGAGAGGGACCGCTAACTCATTTTCGCGCCAAATTATCTTCATGTTTTCGCAGCGCCCTCACCGGGAGGCATAGAAAGACTTCCGGTCGTATTAGCTACAGTGTTTTAATCGAAGACTTTGGGGTAAATATTGCCTATATATTGTATATTTTACTATTTATAGCCTGCACGTCAATAGAAATTTACATAAGATGGATATCTATGATGTATTTTTGCAGCTATAAAGAGAAATTAAAAAGATAACACGTATAACATGAGACCATGCATCATGATGTTTACATCTTGTCGTTGTCGGTACAACATTTTTAATTCTGAATGAAAATGTTCTCTTGTTGAAAAGTTGCTCCTTTTATCTTCATAAACATTGTAGACTCAGGCCCTTAGGAACTGGTGAGCAAGGAGGAAAAATTAGCAAGTATACAGGCACGTTTCGTTTTAAAAGGGGGGGGGGTATGTAAATGTAGGACAAGTTATCTGGGAAAAAAAACTTGAACAAGCAAATAAAAAGAGAAGGAAATTGTCAGAACAATATGTAGAAAAAAACTACTATTTTATGTAGGAGGGGTCGGTTGGGGGGGGGGGGACTTTTAGTGTACATTTCAACAGTAAATGGGTACACTGTATATGTTGTGGACCCCCCTCCCCCCCCCCCTTCCCCCATCAATATAATACTGGTATGTGCTATTCGAACATTTGCTTTAACGTATCCCTTAAATAAATATTATTTAAACCTCATATGTTTTTCTTTTCCTTTTTTATTTGCTCAACTGAGATTTGTCCCAAAAACTGAAATTCCTTCCCACAAAAGGGGCCTGAGAGTTTCTCAACATTTTAAAGACTTGATCATAGTATTGAGATGTATTATTTACTTTTTTGTATATCCAAGAATGTATAATAAGGATGTTAAATTTTTACATCATGTAAAGATGAACACTTGTTCATGTAATCTCCAGGTATGTCAGAAATCACTCTTCTCAACAATAGACACAGATTGCAAGCAGAGGAAATGAAGAATGCATAAATTTTTATGGGTGAATTTATCCTGACCACCATAAATCTATTAAGTAAGTGGCAATTTTTACTCACTTATATCACAATAATTTGTTTAAAATGTATCATTTTGCTTCACATGACTGTAAACATGTGTTATTTACATCAAAATTTGCATCAGGATAAATATCGAATACATGTACAATTGTACATGTATTGCCTTGATTTATAGAGTGATAATCTTACATGTTCTTTGCGAGGGGATGCTCCGCCTCGCGGTGTCCTTGTTTCATGAGGATTGTTGATCTTTTTTTTTTACTGCTTTTGTAGTTTCTTTTTTTAATATACATGTACTAAATAATGAACAATTATTATCCCACGTTTTACAGGTATATTTCATGGGGCTATTAAATTCTTTTCTTCATTGATTTTGTCTTTTTCATATTTTCAGAGTAACAGTTCCTCTCTTGATTGATTCTACAAGATTCTGAAGTTGTTTTCCCAAAAGACCTTGACCTGCTTCATAAGGGTGTTTTACGTGAGATCTAAGGATGAATAAGACAACAAATAGTTGTTCAGTAAGCTATAAAGCTTAAAATGTTGCTGCATAAAATATAGCCACGCTCAAAATGGCACTGAAACAAACATTGACATGTTGTGTGGTTTTTCAACAATACTGCAAATGAATAAGAAATAATATCAGAAACTTTCATCTCAGGTTTAAGACCTCCGAGAATTTAATTAATGAATATTCTTTCCAAACATTTTCCCACTCCTTGGATTGTAAATTCTGAGTAAAGAAATGTGTGATGAACATTTCAAATTTCTATGTGATGCATACATGTATAAACTAAAATATACTACATGTACATGTACTATGCCTAAATGTATGACAATAAATCTAACTTAAACTTAGCCAATGCATATTTTTGTATTTTTTGAACACCTAGTTTTTAGGCTCAAGTGAGCTTTTCTAATGACATTTTGTCTGTTGTATGTCCAACTAAAATTTTCACAATTTCGACTTCTTCTCAAGTACCTCTGGGTCAATTTAAACAAACTGGTACAAAGCATCCCTGGTTGAAGGGGAGTTTGAATTGTTAAAATGAAGGGCCACGTTCCCTACAAAGGGAGATGTTCAAGAAGAGACAAAAATAGGGCGGGGTCTTGAAAAAAAATCATGAACCACTGGGCCAGAAAGTAAAAACTGTGGAAGCATCTTGGGATTAGTGTAGATTCTAAATTGTTCAAATCATGACCCCCCAGTTGGGTCGGGCCACACTAAGGAATCAAAGTTTTACATAGAAATATATAGGAAAAAAAACTTTAAAAATCTTCTTCTCAAGTTGAAGAACCACTGGACCAGAAAACCTGAAACCTATGTCAAATTCTATATTATTTAATCATGACCCCTGGAGGTAGGACAGGGTCACAATAAGGAAGCCAAGTTATACATAGATTGTAATATAAAAGGAAAAATTATTTTTTTTAAGAACCACAGCCAGAAAAACTTGTGTAAAAGCATCTGGGGTAGTGTAGATTCTAAATTGTTCAATTTATGACCCCAGGGGTAGAATGGGGCCATGATTTAGAATCCAAGTTTTACATGAAATATGTAGGAAAAAACTTTAAAATTTCTCAAGAACCACTGGGTTCACAGGTGCTTGACGACAGAACCCCCCCCCCCTTTCGATATAGACCCCTGGGCTTTTTTCTTATAAATAATTTTCCATTGATATATTTGTGATAAGATCTATACCAACGTTAACAAATCGAAAAATTCCCTAAAACAAATGTTCTATAAATTCTACCCTACATTCTATATATAAAAATCAACTATAGAGAGTGGTTTGAAATTTTGTTGTAAAATGTTTGTTTAAGCAAATTTTCTGAATTGATAGGGTAGGTTATATCACAAATGTGTCATCCATATATATTAAATTTATGTGAAAAAA